ACCTGGTGTGGTCTCTGTGCTCCTGACTGCGCAGCTGCAGCGGGTGAAGGAGGTGGTGACCTGGAAGAAAGTGGACCAAAGCGTTTCCCAGCTGTGCTCCTCAAGTGCTGAGAAGGACCGTCCAACTGAAAATGACTGCAGCGGTGTTAAGATCACGGATGGGCTGGTTGGCTTTTTGTCCGGCAACTTCTCTGGTAACACATGGAGGGACGAGTACCTCGGGGTGGACGCCACGGTAAATAATAATGAAGGGGCTGCGAAGGCAACATTGCATGCCTGCGGAGTGACGTTCAAAGGAGCGTGGGTGGAGCGGCCTGTTGGCGAGCAGGGGGAGAATCAGCTGTACCACCTTGCGAACCACAACTTCACTCTTGTGGCGACGGTGTCCATTGACAATGTGCCGACGAAGGAGGGTCCTATTCCATTGATGGGTGTGAAGATGAATGGCGCAGAGAATCCAGTACTTCTGGGACTGTCGTTCAACAAAGAAGAGGAAATTGTTGCAGAGTGGCGGAAAGACCGAGGAGCTCAGCGGCACTTGGGAGACAGACGCAAAGTACCAGGTGGCGATTGTGCTACAGAACGGCAAACAGGGCTCGATCTACGTCAATGGTAAACTTGTGTGTGGGGATGCGCAATGTGAACTGAAAAATACGGATATTAATGTGGTCTCCCACTTCTGCGTTGGAGGGGATGGAGACAAAACAGGGAGCAACGAAGGCGTGTCTGTGACTGTGACGAACGTCCTGCTGTACAACTGCCCGTTGGATGGCAATGGGATTAATGCGCTTAAAACAAACAAAGTTTCTATTCCGAAGAGTGTGGCTGCGCGTACGTCTTCGGCCGTGGTGTCTCGCCCGAAGTGCTCTGCTGATCATTTGGCGGCGGGAGCAACGGGTGGCGTTGCCGCTCGTGGCAGTGGGGCACATGGTGATGGCGGCACTGTGTTTGGTAACGAGGTGCTGCCATCGCTTGTTCTTCTGTTGGGACTGTGGGGGTTTGCGGCTCTGTGAGGAGTGACTGGCTGCCGCGTGGGACACTGCGACCCTCCCCTTCACAGAACTACTGTCCTCCCGTAAACGAAATATTCCCCGGATAACATTTTTTTGTTCTTAATTTTTACACCTTTTTTTTGTGCCTTTTTTTAAATTTGAATTTTGTGTGCTGCCACCGTGCGTGATTGTTGATGTCGGGGCCGCACCGCATGTACCGCTGCCATCCAGCCGTGCCTCTTGTGTGTGTGTGTGTCCCCTTGCATGGACTCTCGCCCTCACCTCACCCCACGAGGCACACACATAATGTGCCCATTGTATATATGCATGCACACCCATGCAGGCCCGTTGGTGCTCTCTTTTTCACGACACGCACCGCTGCCGTCCTGCCTGGCTGCATGGGCGGAGCACCGTAACTGTTTTGTTTTTATTGCATTGAGTGGGCGACCTCTCTCTCTCTCCCTCTGTGTGTGTTTTGCTTTACGGGAGCAATGAGAGTGTGTGCGCTGGTCGTCCCACGCTTCGGCATTTTTGTTTCTCTTTTTTTTGAATCTTTGCGTGTGTTGTGGTTGGGTGCACCCATTTTAAATTCATTGATTGGTTTTCTTCTTAAAGTGCGGATGGCTGAATTTTCCCTTTTGTATTCTCCTGTTCTTTGTTTCTCCCACGCAATCGGTCCTTGTTGCTTCAGCGAGCCACGGAATATGTGCCTAACACCCACATCAATGGCTTACTTGCTCTACACCCCACATTAGTTTGAGACGCTGGTGCTGCTGCATGTGATGGTGTTTATGGTGTGATTGCCGGCGGGTGCTTTGCTGTCACTTTGACGTACCCTCGATTTGTTGAATATGTTATGCGTGCCGACAGCAAGAATTGGATCCGCGTTGTTGTGAGGGACGCACCCTTTTTGAGCAGTTGGTGCGCTGCGGCCATACACCGTCATTGGGATGGATGGATGCCCATCCGCATCAACGTATCCACAAGGGACCTGGATGATACCGGGAAGTATTGGATCTCAGAGAGGTACTACGCAATGAATTCATTGGATGACAATTGCGAGTGTGAGGATGACGTTGTATCCTCTGCGCACGGGATCATTCTCGAGAATGAAGTTGTCCCTGCTGCTTTCAAACTGCATGCGGATCGTCTGCTCGTGCAGCCACTGGAGGGTCCTTTGATTGTGCCCCCATTTGCCACGGGCAGCGTTTGCATTCGGTTCACGATGCGTGCTGGGCATTGTTCCACTGGTGTTGCCAATGCTGACATGGTGCTGTGCGTGGCAGAGCGCTGTCGGTGGTGGTGCACTCGACGACTGCCGTGGTGGCTGCGAGGAGCCCCGTGACTGCGACGACATTGATGGCATGGAACTGCAGGATGGCGATGGTGACGGGAGGACGCTGGTGTCGCACTGGTCGCAGCGCCACGCGAAGGATGAGTGGATGGCACCGATTGGTTGTGCCGGCTGCCGCACGGAGCTGACGCTGGCCGCACCGGCTGACCTGGGCTGCATGAAGGTGAAGTGGGAGATGGCGGAGCCGATGCGCTGGTGAAGGAATTCGTGCTGTGCGCTGCTGCAGAGGAAGTGCTCCGCACCGAACATGAGTGAATATCCCCAGATGTTCTGCGAAGGGGGCGTTCCTGCCAGACGCTGCACGTTGGATCGGTATTCGAGTGGTTGGTGTGTAGACGAATTATCCATGAGGGGTCAGCAAAACGCCCGATGGACAGTTGCCCCATCATTGGTCCCGCACTGGATGTGAGAAATGCTGCCGCTGTTATTTGGAGGGGAGAATGTTTGTCTGCGGTGCCTGGGGACAAGCCCTCTTCGTGGTGTCTGGACACGCCTCCCACCAACACGACGGATGCGAGGGACACGGAAGAAACATACATCTCGGTGCTGTCATGCATGCGGCGTTGCGGTGCCTCGGCATGCGGGTGCGTCTGAGAGTGACTGAAGAGGCTAACGCCCGTTGTGCCCCATGCACGGCCGAGGCGACGATTACGTGGGTTGCTCCGCCCTACGACGAGGGAAAAGCTATTTTCCGTGACCACGCGCAGGTGTGCACGATATCCGCCACCAGCGGCAGCCTGCTTCCAATAGTTTCGTAGGGCGGCGAGGAGAGAGTGTGTGGAGCAGGACGGTTTCACTGGCATATACTGAACAAGCTTTGCCACGGGCATCCGTCCCCGATCCAGAGAGCATTGGCACCGACCGTGGCACACCACCGAAGGATGTGGACACGGCTGCTCCCCAGAAGCATCCGTCGCCAGAGGAGAAGGAGGTCGCCTCAGGTGCCACGACGGCAACGGAGTGCTCTTGCCCAGCGACACCGCGGGTGCGCCGCAGGAGGCGGAGAAGAGGAGCGATGTTCCGGACATCGACGATGTGGCCGCCGATGGTGTGACGTCTGTTGTGGGACAATCATTATGAGATGAGGCCGCCAGCGACAAGGCCGGTGGCGGTGCCACAGCCACGGGACCCAGGAGCCCTGATGCCGCTGATGACGCGCAGGGCGCCGTGGACCCTCCGCCGAGGGAGGATGAAGCGGCGGTGGTGTGCGGGGTTGGGAGGCAGACATGGAGGACGCCCCGCCTCCGATCCACGGCAGTAAAAGTGCGGCTGCTGCTTGTCCCTTTCCGCTGATTCTTCTGCTTGCCGCTGCCGCCGCGGTGCCAACACTCAGCAGTGGGTGCAAGAGAGAAAGGCCTATATCAACTGGCATGTTCCTGTCAGTATATACATACGCTCTGCTTGTCCGTATACTTTGTACTAGGGACATGCTGTATGCACTCTCCCTCTTTTGTGTTGTTCGCTAATGTGGCGGCACCACGCGTGCAATATGGGTTGGGATAAGAAATTGTTTGACTTTTTCTGGAGGATACTGTGGGGTGTTTGTGTGCGTGTGCGAGGGATCTGTGTGGTTTTGATTTCCCTATTTTTATTTACCTGCTTTGGCATTGTGTAATGATACTTCCCTTCTCCATTATGTGTGTTCTGAAGTGTTGCTAGGGCACCGGGAGTGGATGCCTGTGGACGCACGCTGTGCATTATGCGCTACATTGGTGGGAGGGGAGACTGACATAACTGGCGGGGTTCAGTAAGGCGCATTTTTGCCCACGGACCCTGCAGCTGCAGCAGCCTGAGTGGCGCTTTGCATATAGACGTGTGGATTGTTTCTCTCTTGTGAGGCCTTTTTTACTGCGTGTCATTTTCCGCTCGGGTACCGTGCCCGTGGCAGCAGCGGCGGCATCAAAAGGGCTGTGTGCGTGGAGAGTCCTTGATTGAGTGCCTGTCTTACTTCTCTGTTCTCTCGTTTGATTGTACCGTGCGCCGGCCAAACGGTTGGCATGACGTTCTTCTGACGGCGGGGTCCGCGTGACATGATGTTGCGTCGCGTGCTTTGTTGTGGGTGTGTGATTTCAGCAACGGTTTTTGGGCGGTTGACTGTTGGGTCGTTGAGGACGGCGTGGCGACGGGTGTGGATGGACCCGATTGTGTGCCGTGGCTGTTCGTGCGGGGGAGCCGCGGGAAGGAGGAAGGCAGCGGACCGATGGACTCACGAGGAGTGCGGTGGCGTGCAGCCATGAAGATTGGCGACAGGGAACTCACTGCCGCTGTGAGTCGCCGTGTGTGGTGTTTGTTTCTGTTATTATTGCTTGCGTTGTTGGATGTGGCCGCTGTGGGGGAAGACTGTTTTTTGTTTCTTTTTCACGCCGTTCTGGGATCCTTTTCCGCACCGGCATCACTGTGTTCTTGCCGTACTGTTGCGCCCTCTTTCCCTTCCATTTGGGGGCAGCTGCGGGTGGGTTTTACATGCCGTGGAGTTGTGTGCCGCGCTGTCCGGTGTTTCATTGTTGCCTGTTCTTCCTGCGTGCACGCGTCCCCCATGCTCATGACAGCAGCCCTCATGTCAGCACCTTCCCTTTTTTTCCATGCTGCTGATGTGTGTGTGCTCTTCTCATCCTCCTCTCTTTGTCCCTCCCTAGACTGTGTGTGCAGCCGTGATGATGACGACTGGCCGTGTGCTGCTGGTGTGTGCCCTCTGCGTGCTGTGGTGCGGTGTCTGCGGTGGTGAACCAGCTGAAACATCTCGAGGTTCTTCGGGTAATGCGTCCGGTAAGATGAACAGTACTAAAAATGACGACGATTCCAAAGATGCCGCTGGAGAAGGTGACAAAAGCGGTGAACATGCAGCGTCTCAAGAAACACCAGCACTACCGGCGCCAGAATTGCCGGGAACGCCACAAGCAGCAGCATCAAAGGCGTCAGGATCACCGGGAACGGAAGAGAAAGCGAGCCCGTCACCGGCAAAACAATCTGAAGGAGGAGAAGCATCAGAAACGGTAAGTACAACGACGGACAACAATAATAAAAATACAGAAAATAAAGAGAAGGAAGAAAAGGAAGAGGAAGAGGAAGAGGAAGAACACGGAGAGAATGGTGCGAAAGGAAAGGAGGAGACAGAGAAAGAAGAAGCTGTTGCCAGCACCACAGAGGTGACCTCAGCAGGCGGTCAAGAGCAGCGAAGTTTATCTTCTGGTGCGGCGGGAGCATCAAATATAACAAATCCCAACAGCACACCAACAACTGGAGACGATGACCCAGCAGCTGATGGTGCAGGGACGGCAGAGGGAAAACAAAATGAAAATAAAGATGCCAATCCGAAGGAAACACCAGTGACGGCCACAGCCATGAAAACTACGACGGCGACGACTGGCGACAGTGATGGCAGCACCGCGGTCTCCCACACCACCTCCCCTCTTTTGCTTCTTCTTGTTTTTGCTTGTGCGGCTGCTGCTGCGGTGGTGGCCGCGTGAGAGTGAGTGTGAGAGAGCCGTGCACCGCCCGCACACACACTCGTCCTTCTCTCTGTGTGTGTCCCCTTGCATGGACTCTCGCCCTCACCTCACCCCACGAAGCACACACATAATGTGCCCATTGTATATATGCATGCACACCCATGCAGGCCCGTTGGTGCTCTCTTTTGCACGACACGCACCGCTGCCGTCCTGCCTGGCTGCATGGGCGGAGCACCGTAACTGTTTTTTTTTTGTTTCCATTGCTTTGTGTGGGCGACCTCTCTCTCTCTCCCTGTGTGTGTGTTTTGCTTTACGGGAGCAATGAGAGTGTGTGTGCGCTGGTCGTCCCACGCTTCGGTTTTTTTCTTTTTGTTTTTTTTATTGTTTTTCTTTTTGTTTTTGTTTTACTTGTGTTGTGGTTGGGTGCACCCATTCCGCGGCTGCGTGTGTGTGTGATGATATGAGTAATTTGCGTGTGTGCTATCCGCTTCTCTGTTGTTGCCGTTTTTGACTCTCTTGTGTTCCGTACATCTGCTCTGCAAGTATAGGCGCTGACAAACACACAAACACATGCACACGCTGTGGAGAGGCGTGAATGATGAGAACGCGCACACGCACAATATTTTGGCTGCGGCGGCCCTTTCGAGGAGGGATGACGGAAGACTGCGATTTTTTTTTTTGCCGTGCTGCGAGCGTGATTTTCTTGGTGTGCTGCCCGTGTGCGGCGCGGCATTGAGGGAGCCTGGGAGATATGCGTATGGATTCACTCCTGGCAGCTGCACGTGCCGACGTGTTCCTCCCGCTGTTCGTGCACCGACGGAGGATTCTCCGGCTGTGCGGGGCGATGTGCGATGGAGGGTGTGGGAAGAGACAACAGTAAAACGACTGGCGATGGCGCGTTGGTGTTGCGAGGGGCAGTTGTGCCCTTCTGCATCTCGCCGATTGTTTTGTGTGTCGGCGTAGCTCGGAGAGTGCTGACGCGTGGCAGAAGCACCCGCCGTGGCTCCTGCTGGTGGCAACAGTCGTTGTGTGTTCTCTTTGCACTGTTCTTCCTCCTCGTTCCGTGTGTCTGTGCGCGTGGGTTGTCGTTGTTGTTGGGAGTGAATGCGGTGCGGATGATGATGCCGCTCACTGTAGATGGGTGGCGGTGCGTTTCACTTCTTTTTCCTCTTTTCTCTAAACCACTCACACACAAAGGAAAGAAGTTACTACCAAGCGCTAATCGCTACTGTGGAATTCGAAGGCACTGAAAGGACCAACAGCACACACACACCGCCCACACATATTTATGTGCTCTCACGTGTTGCTGCAGTGAAGGCACCCCGCACACATAACCGTCGCCGCGTGACCGGATCCAGCGGAAGGAGGAGGGAAGGAGGAGAGAGTGAGCGGCGGATGCCCAACATGTCCCGGCATCTCTTCTACTCTGCGGTGCCCCTTTTTCTTCTTCTTGTGATGTTGTGCTGCAACAGTGTTGGGGCTGTGGCTGCTGCAGGATCCGAGTCACGTCAGGACTCTTCATCGGGGAAATATTTTGTTTGGAGAGATGTGAAGGATGGAGAAAAGTGAGTCCTCTCCATGCTCCCAGTCTTGTTGGGATGAATGGTGAGGTGTTTGCCGTTGCCGAGGCGTGGTGCGAGAAGGATAGCGTCATTTTTCCTTGCATTGCTCCACAATTCATGAAGTTGGACGACAAAAACCCCAAAGCCCTGGAAGCAACTGAGGTGAGGACGGAAGTGCTGGAGGAGTGTCCAACCGATGGAGGGAATTGCGCCTCCAAAACAGAGGATAAGGATGATTCCCAAGGCGGGACGAGAGTACATGTGAGCCGTCCAACAACAGTTGTGAGGGGAAATGATATTTACATGCTTGCTGGAGTCTGCATGAGTAAAGGTCTCTCTAATTGTCAGGTAGGTGTGGCTGGCGTGGCTCAGTGGGGACTTTTGCTGGTGAAAGGGAACGTCAGTGGTGTGGATGAAAGTACCAAAAGAATTTATTGGAATGATACCATCAGTATTTTGTGCAATGCTATCGGTGACAACGATGACACTTTGACAGGACACATTGGAGGTGGTGGATCGGGTGCTAAGATGGAGGATGGCACGCTTGTGTTCGCAACGGAAGCCGTGAAGGAGAATAAGGTTAATGGCACTGCGGAGGATGGAGGGAATAACAATGTTTCGCTGCTCATGTCCTCCTCGGATGCTGCGAGTTGGACGCTGTCGAAGGGGATGTCTGACGGTGGCTGCGGTGATCCCTCCGTCGTGGGGTGGAAGGACAAAACACTCATCATGATGACTGCGTGTGCTGATGGCCGCCGCAGGGTGTACGAGATCGGTGACAAGGGGGAGGCCGTGGGCGGAGGCACTCGGAACACTCTCGCGTGTGTGGGACAACAACCGTAAGCCACATGAGAAGGGCGTTGGAAGCGGGTTCATCACGGCGACGGTCGAGAACAGGGACGTGATGCTCGTTACTCTGCCGGTGTATTCCGAGAAGCTTGAGAAGGGAGGCGCTCAAAAGGGTGAACTCCACCTTTGGCTGACGGACAATACGCACATTGTTGATATTGGGCCGGTATCCGGGGAAGGGGACGATGCTGCCGCCAGCTCCCTGCAGTACAGAAGTGATGGAAGTAGTGAAGCTAATAATAATGAGGAGTTGATTGCACTGTACGAGAAGAAGGGCGCTGAGGGCAAACCATCACCTGGTGTGGTCTCTGTGCTCCTGAGTGAGCAGCTGCAGCGGGTGAAGGAGGTGGTGGCGACCTGGAATAAAGTGGACCAAAGCGTTTCCCAGCTGTGCCCCCCAAGTGCCGAGAAGGACCGTCCAACTGAAAATGACTGCAGCGGTGGTAAGATCACGGATGGGCTGGTTGGCTTTTTGTCCGGCAACTTCTCTGGTAACACATGGAGGGACGAGTACCTCGGGGTGAGCGCCACGGTAAATAATGAAGGGGCTGCGAAGGCAACATTGCATGCCGGCGGAGTGACGTTCAAAGGAGCGTGGGTGGAGTGGCCTGTTGGCGAGCAGGGGGAGAATCAGCTGTACCACTTTCCGAACCACAACCTCACTCTTGTGGCGACGGTGTCCATCGACAAGGTGCCGACGAAGGAGGGCCCTATTCCTTTGATGGGTGTGAAGATGAGTGACGCAGAGAATCCAGTACTTCTGGGACTGTCGTTCAACAAAGAAGTGGAAATTGTTGCAGAGTGGCGGAAAGGCCGAGGAGCTCAGCGGCACTTGGGAGACAGATGCAAAGCACCAGGTGGCGATTGTGCTACAGAACGGCAAACAGGGCTCGATCTACGTCAATGGTAAACTTGTGTGTGGGGATGCGCAATGTGAATTGAAAAATACGGATATTAATGTGGTCTCCCACTTCTGCATTGGAGGGGATGGAGACAAAACAGGGAGCAACGAAGGCGTGTCTGTGACTGTGACGAACGTCCTGCTGTACAACCGCCCGTTGGATGGCAATGGGATTACTGCGCTTAACGCAAACAAAGTTTCTATTCCGAAGAGTGTGGCTGCGCGTACGTCTTCGGCCGTGGTGTCTCGCCCGAAGTGCTCTGCTGATCATTTGGCGGCGGGAGCAACGGGTGGCGTTGCCGCTCGTGAGAGTGGGGCACATGGTGGTGGCGGCACTGTGTTTGGCAACGAGGTGCTGCCATCGCTTGTTCTTCTGTTGGGACTGTGGGGGTTTGCGGCTCTGTGAGGAGTGACTGGCTGCCGCGTGGGACACTGCGACCTCCCCTGCACAGAACTACTGTCCTCCCGGAAACGAAATATTCCCCGGATAACATTTTTTGTTTGTCATTTTTAAACCTTTTTTTTGTGCCTTTTTTTAATTCGAATTTTGTGTGCTGCCACCGTGCGTGAGAGTGAGTGTGAGAGAGCCGTGCACCGCATGTACCGCTGCCATCCAGCCGTGCCTCTTGTGTGTGTGTGTGTCCCCTTGCATGGACTCTCGCCCTCACCTCACCCCACGAGGCACACACATAATGTGCCCATTGTATATATGCATGCACACCCATGCAGGCCCGTTGATGCTCTCTTTTGCACGACACGCACCGCTGCCGTCTTGCCTGGCTGCATGGGCGGAGCACCGTTACTGTTTCTGTTTTGTTTTTATTGCATTGAGTGGGCGACCTCTCTATCTGTCTCCCTCTGTGTTCGTGTTTTGGTTTACGGGAGCAATGAGAGTGTGTGCGCTGGTCGTCCCACGCTTTGGTAATTTGTTTTTTTTTCCTTTTTGATTTTGTGGTTGTGAGCACCCATTCCGCGGCTGCGTGTGTGCTTGAGTTTTTTTTGAGAGTGAATGCGGTGCGGATGATGATGCCGCTCACTGTGGATGGGTGGCGGTGTGTTCACTTCTTTTTCCTTTTTTTCTGAACCACTCACACACAAAGGAAATAAGTTACTACCAAGCGCTAAACGCTACTGTGAAATTCGAAGGCTCTGGAAGGACCTACAGCACACACACCGCCCACACACACATATTTATATGCTCTCACGTGTTGCTGCAGTGAAGGCACCCCGCACACACAACCGTCGCCGCGTGACCGGATCCAGCGGAGGGAGAAGGGAAGGAAGAGAGAGTGAGCCGCAGAGACCCAACATGTCCCGGCATCACTTCTTTTCTGCTCTGGTGCTCCTCATTGTTGTGATGGTGTGCTGCAACGCTGGAGGTGCTGCGGGAGTTGCGGGGCAGCCAGCTGATCCCCAGTTTAAATGGAGGGGCATCACCGGTGATGAAAAATTGGACTCGTTGGGTGCTCCCAGCCTTTTGAAGGTGGGGAGTGACGTATTTGCCGTTGCCGAGGCAAAGTGGAAGAAGGATGATGCCAGTTTTACTGGCATTGCATCCCAACTTCTTACGACAAAAACTACTGACACACCGGAGGAAGTACTGAAGAATGCCAACGATGGGACACAATTACTGGAGGGAGGTACTTCCAAAGACCCAAATAAAAGAGTAGATGTGAGCCGACCAACAACTGCTGTGAGGGGAAATG